CGCTAGAGTTCCCGAGCGTGGATAAACCATCGTCATTGAGAAGTGAGCATAGACCAACGATCGAAGAGCCTACCGACCCATCTTAGGCACAACGCAGAACCCACCGACGATTCCTTTATCCCTATCAGCCCTAACTTCGTGAGAGAAGAATATCGGAGCCGCCCATGTCTGGCTCTGTCAACTTAATGAAACTGAAAGGTAAGAAAGGAAGATTCTCATCCTCCTTCCCCCTTGCAACCTTCCCTTCGCTGTTGCCATTGGAAACAAAAGAACAAGAACCTACAGATGATTTCTCTGTCTCGATCAGCCCTAGCTTTCAGGAATAGATTTGGAATGTATGTGTTCTTCTTCTTTCTCTCATGCCTTTCTTCTGTTAAAAATTTGTGTGATATGAGTGTTTGTGGGAGATGACCAACGAGAGGAAAGAGAACAGAGATAAAGGAAAGTAACTGATAAGAAGAAAGGAAGTAAAAATATATTTTATTTTCTATTTTGCTTCTTCCATGCTTTTATTCTTTTCTGCGTGAGTATATGAGAGAGAGGGAGAGAGATGTGATTGGAAGACTTAAAACAAGAAACCCTAAGATTTTTTTGACATGCCAAGTAATAAGTACTGACATGCTCTTCTTCGTCGGCCTTACTCTTCTCGTCATTCTCTTCCTCGAAGTAGACCTAGAGAGAGATAGAGAGAGATGAGATTCAGTTTAATAGATGGGAAGAGGAAGGGCTAGAAGTTATCAAAAACCCAAAAACCTCTAAAAGGAGAGCTCTCGCGGTGGCTGGCATTCATGGCGCTAGAGTTCCCGAGCGTGGATAAACCACCGTCATTGAGAAGTGAGCATAGACCAACGATCGAAGAGCCTACCGACCCATCTTAGGCACAACGCAGAACCCACCGACGATTCCTTTATCCCTATCAGCCCTAACTTCGTGAGAGAAGAATATCGGAGCCGCCCATGTCTGGCTCTGTCAACTTAATGAAACTGAAAGGTAAGAAAGGAAGATTCTCATCCTCCTTCCCCCTTGCAACCTTCCCTTCGCTGTTGCCATTGGAAACAAAAGAACAAGAACCTACAGATGATTCCTCTGTCTCGATCAGCCCTAGCTTTCAGGAATCGATTTGGAATGTATGTGTTCTTCTTCTTTCTCTCATGCCTTTCTTCTGTTAAAAATTTGTGTGATATGAGTGTTTGTGGGAGATGACCAACGAGAGGAAAGAGAACAGAGATAAAGGAAAGTAACTGATAAGAAGAAAGGAAGTAAAAATATATTTTATTTTCTATTTTGCTTCTTCCATGCTTTTATTCTTTTCTGCGTGAGTATATGAGAGAGAGGGAGAGAGAGGTGATTGGAAGACTTAAAACAAGAAGAGAAAAGACAGCAGCAGACTGAGAATTACAAAAGTGCCATTGGCCTCCTTTTTCTTCTTCTTCCTTTGCGTGAGAGATAAGAGAGAAAGTGAGAAGTGGAAGTGATAGTACCAACTCCAAGACTAAAAGCCAACTGAGAAATGATGAGGAGAAGCAAAAAGTAAACCAAGTAACAGTGTTTGGATGTGACTCTAAGAAACAGTAAACTTTATGCTTGTTCTTTTAAGAGTATAATAACTAGAACGGAAAGCTCGCGGCTCGCGGCGGGGCATAATTTGTATACATAAAAGTCGATTCGTTAACAGAATAATACTTTTGTAGATCTCAGAAACACTAACACTGATGTGGATCTTGGAATCGGAGGGTTCTCCTTGTAGCCACCAGTAGAATGGTAAGGTTGTTTAGTCTACAAATATGAGAAAGATAGCACAAGTTTTAAACCTGGAAAAAAGTGATTGTATAATAGATCATCAATAGAGGTGGCAATTCTCAATCCAATCCACCAATATATTAAAAATATCCACCTAATCTAATCCATTTAAATCCAATCCATTTAATCCAAATCCAATTGGATTGGTGGATTCATGGATCAATCCATGGATCCAAATGGCAAATTACGGTTTGGTACCTATAATTTTCATATTTTACATTTTGGTACCTGAAATTTATTTTTTATACAAAAATATCATTGGAAAATTACGTTTGGTACCTAAATTTTTTCATTATGACATTTTAGTACCTTAACTTTTTACATTTTACATATTGGTCCTTGGTAGAGGATGTCATTTGGATTCATGGATAATCCACCAATCCACTTGATCCAATCCATGAATCCACCAATCCATTGGATCCAATCCATTTGATCCATGAATCCACCAATCCATTGGATCCAATCCATTTGCAACCTCTAATCATCAACTAATAACATTATCCACAGTTGCAACTTGCATAGAAAGTGATAGGAAAAGAATATTCATTAAAAGCAAATTATGATATCATATACGATGTGATGTCAAATATAAACGTTTGGTACACATATCCCCTCGATCACCCCAACAAATTATTATTTTTTATATAAAAAGCAGACTTTATTTCATAAAAGTGCTCCACACGAGAGCAAAGTTCAACCAGTTTAAATCCAAAAAACCTAGCACATTAATGTACAAATATGAACTCCTAGCCCTACTATGTACATGAAGATATCAAAATGAAACTATCTAATACTGAAACCATGGATTCTTCCTTTATTCGAGCAGCCTCTTCCATTTTCAAGTTGGCAAGGATCTTCCGCTCCAACACCTGCTGCATCCTTTTCAGCAGTTCTACAACATTCATATATCTCTCTCTATACAGGTTCCTGCACCTCTCTCTCCATGTCTGACTGATTAGCATATTCCAACCCAGTTTTCCTACCTTACAACTCTTAAAACACATTGCAGCTTCCATCATTCTGCACTCCAGCCCCCATTGGCTTATACCCCCAAGACTCAAGGATCATCCTAGTCACCTGCTGCACACGATGATACATAATTTGGATAAGTAAAAGCATTTCTCCATCGAAATACAGAGCATTTAATCATAACTAATGAGCTTTCGAGTCCCAAGATGTGTGTCCCCAGTGCCATCTAATTCCAACCATGAGGGGATCCCAATTCCACATTCTGTTAGGAAAATAAGCAGGAAATATTATTTTGCTGGAATAAGGAGCAAAACATTTCTTATGCCGATGACCCAACATAATAAAACCCACATAAAACACAAATTCATAAGTGCGATCGATAACCCGACATAAAACCCAAAATCATTTGCAATGCCAACATAACGGAAAAAATGGTTCAACAACGCTAAGCGTGATCGATAACCCAAACCATTAAACCCAAAATCATTTGCAAGGCCGACATAGTGTGGGAAAAAGCTACCCTAAGCGTGATCGATAACCCAAAACCGAAAACCATAAATCCGAAACTAATTTGCAAGCCCAACACCACAGAGAAAATGTTCCCAGATATATATCTGAGAATATTTTTTTCTTACTCCAAAAATTACCAGTGTCCCGTGACACCCCTAGACTCCCTCCCTCCATCTATGCTCAACATCAATTTGTGGTTTAGTCGTAGGTTTAGGCGGACCGAAAATGGCTCTCATGACACCTGAGGAAGACCAAACAATAGCAACCAAGTTACGAAACATAATAACAATGAACGCTACAAAAAAGATGGCAATAGTGACCATATGATTCTGTCACAAAAGCTCTTTTCAACTTTTTTAGCGTTCTAAGAAGATAAATAATAATAATAATAATAATAATTCATTCATTATAGGAACCCAAACAGTATTTTAGAAACCCAAGCAATATTTTAGATGATTAAAAGATATAAATATGTGTTATAAACTCAAATTTTATGTAATGGTCTATTCAAAATAAATAGTAAATGACCAGCATACTTCATCTTTAATTATCTGGTTTGAACATTAAAATTAGAAAATATATGAAGATGAAGTACAAAAGTTAAGTAGTTAGTTCAAATTACCATTAAAATTAGAAAATATATGAAGATGAAGTACAAAAGTTAAGTAGTTAGTTCAAATTTTAAGCAAAAATTAAACCAAAAAGAGAAAATCTGCAAAAACATGGAACTGCCGGGGATTGAACCTGAGTATCTGGAAGATACTAAGAGCTGCTTTCCGCTGGACTAGAGCTAGTCAAAGGTTAATACTTTTGCGCGGAACTGTAATTGTATAATAGATAGTTTCTTCAGAATTTCCAAAATTCTCGATATTTTTACACGCCATCTTCAGAGTTCTCGGGGGGGCCGGGGCCCTCCCGAGGAACAAGGTAGCTCCGCCCCTGCTCTGGGCGACTTCACCCAGGCGTCCAGTTTCCGAATCCTAGCTCCAATAACTTGTTCTCTATGTAACTATGTTCCCTATGGCTTCCAAGTGTTCCACTAGCTGCTTTGCCCTGATAATGCACTGAACGCTACCAAAAGCATATCAATTGTATAAAAGCAGGGTTGCTATAACATAATTGAAGCAATCTTAACATAAATCCAAAGTATTGTGATGATAATAATAAGAAATTACTCATAATACGAGAGTCTAGAATAGATTCTTTTATGTGTCATAACAAACAAATTATCTGGATCCAAATAACTCAAGGTAAAAAACTATCCAAATGACCCTAATTTCATGCAATCAGTATATGATTATTTAAAGGACCTTTCCTTCCAACTTCAAAAAGTCATCGTCTTTTGCCATAACGTCCCAAAATAAGGAACTGTCGTCGGTGGTGAACACGAAAAGCAGGAGTGGCCCACCGGTATAATAGGAGGCGACAAGACAGGAGCAGACATAAGAAACATCATATCAAGCTTGAGGTTATGAAGTAGCTCTCCCGATAGGGAGCAACTTGTATACAGCATTATCAGCTCTTAGCTAGCTAAGGGTTACTTAGCTCGAAAAAAGTCCCCAAATGGGGATGGGATGGGATGCTAACTATCAATTAAGCTAGCATCGTAATAACTAATTCCATCTCCGTTCTTTTTTTTTTTTTTTTTTTGTAAATCTAACTGTGAGTTTGTTAAAAGGGCATTTTTGATAGGTGGATAAGTAATCCCAGCTGTGTTGTGCGGTATTTGGAGTGAGACCCAACCGTCCTTCCTTCTCCCTTCATTTATCTTTTCTTTTTTTCCCCTTTTCCTCTCTAACCATACCTCGCCCTTTCACTCAACGATCCGTCAGGCCACTGAAAAGCCATGTCGTCGTCGGTTACTTCTCCCTCGCCGCCTCCGTCCTCCCCATGGTACGAATCGGCCTTGATTGTGTCGTCATCTGCTTCAGACTCACCTGCGCCGCCATCGTCTGCATCTGGGTGGCCTTTTCCGTCCTCGTCGTCTCAAACGGTCTCGCCTGTTCGTCATCGTCTCCAACGGTCTCACCTGCTCGTCATCGTCAACTTCAGCATCGGTTGTGCCATTATCTATATCGGCATGGCCTTCGCCGTCGTCACCTGCATCATTGTCGTATGGGTTTAGAATTTCAGATCTGGCTCTTTCTTGCCTACTCTTTGTTAGATCCAGATTAGTAGTGATTTTCAAGACTATTAGTATTCAAAGATAGTAGTATTGTGTTCTTCAGTGGTGTTTCAGATATTGGTGCATAGTGATTGTGAATGTAAGTACTGATTAGGGATGGCAATTTTGCTCATACCCATGGGTTTCTTACTATCCAACCCAATTGGGTTGGGTATGAAATCCAAATAGATGGATATGGGTAGAGTTTGATAGGTTTGTACCCATACCCATTTACTTTGGGTTGAGTTGGGTTTATATCAAATGGATTTGGGTTTGTGCCCATGCCCAAATACAAATTACAGTTTGGTACCCAAACTTAATAGACAAGCATATTTAGTACCTAAATTTATTTTTTTTTGCATATGAGTCCTCAAAATATCGATGGAAAATTACGTTTTGGTACCTAAATTTTTTGGTCTTACATTTTGGTACCTAAACTTTTCAAGTTTTGCAAATATGTCCAATTTTTGTATGTGTAGTTAAAACACCCTCAAGTAAATGGATATCCATATCCAACCCATACCCATTTAGATTATGGATGCCCCAAACCCAAACCCATCTATAAACCCCCCAAATCCATATGCACTTCACCCATACCCAACCCATTATCAATGGGTCTACTTGGGTTTGGGTATAATTACCCATGGGTGGGTAATTTGCCATCCCTAGTACTGATTCATGATTGTGTGCGGAGCTGTAGTAGTGTTTTTAATTTCAGTAGTGATTTTTAGTTCCCTTTAGTAGTGTTTTTAATTTTAGTAGTGAAAGTTAGGAGGTCTGGTTAGTAGTGATTTCAGTTCTACGCTGTAATAGTTCTGTTACTTGTTATGTATGTTTAGTAGTGATTATCAGTTTTGGAAAAATAATATTTGTAGTCATTTTGTATCAAATTGTTGTGGTATTAGTTTTCCAATAGTAGTAGCCTTTTGTATTAAAATCCAAAAAAAATTGAAAACATGGCACTCCCCCAGAATTCGCCCGCTAATCCTCAAAATCCGCCGGCTTCCGCTATAAACATATTTAAATTTGCCATTTAATATATAGTTTTACTATTATACCCTTTTTATATTTGTAGGTGTTAGATCTGAAATAGAGATAGAGGGTTTATATATGGTAGTTAGGATTGTGCTAACCCCTATAGAGTTAGCACCCTATCTTCTCCCCAAATGTAGTCGAATTATTCAATTGCATTTTTTTGGGTCAGCAGAACCAACTACAGTGCCATTACAAACAACGACAAAGTTAACATAAAATACATAATTCAAATTACATTCTTTTGTTTATTAAAAAATTCCCAAATTTCTCTTCGTACTGTGAAAAAATCACTCTCCGACTTAACCCTATCTAAGCTTTTCTTCCCCTTGCCAATTTTAGGTTTCCTCTATTTCTCATTCTTCCTTTTCCCACAAGATAAGTGATCCTAGATGGTGTCTAATTTACTTGGTCTGAAGTATAGGATTGTATTCGCTAAGGTCTATAACAACCACGTAGTTAGGTGGTGAGGGACGAGTTCTATGATATTAGGGAATTTATGTAGGAGGTTGAGGTGTCTCCAATTTTGCAAAACATAAAGTAAAAGAAAGACAAGTGCAAAAAAGTACAGCTAATGGACGAGTGAAGGAAGATAGGAGAGGAAGACGTTGCTAGACAAGCTCCCTCTAGAGTTTTTAGACACATACCTTCGATACCGGCAACATAATATTTATTGATTTTTTAGGTCGTCTAATCCCACCTTTGGGTCAAATTTTTACCCCAACTATTGGGCAATAAGGACCCTATATACGGATTTCTCTCTTGTGGCGTCATTCTATTTGATCAAATGATGATAGATAAAATAGAACTGTCATGTCTGATTTTCTTCTAAGCAACTAGGGTGTTGTCGATAGTTTATTGCGTGCTAATAATATCTAATTATTGCATGTGAAGCAAAAATGCAAGGATATAATTAGTACACATAAATTAAATTAATTATGACACTCATAGAGGCACAAGATTATATATAACAGGGTAGCTGAAGCAAGCAGGACAGGAAAATAGAAGAAGAAGATAAGATCGAGCAAGAGTGATCCAGCCATGCATAACATTATTGAGCACTGCACACCAACGTGCATAAATATAACATGAGATGGATAAAAAAGAAAGAGTAGATGGAAAAGCAAATTAAAAAAGCGTGGTGCATAGCCATAGTTGATGATGGATGAAGGATTTTATGGGCGGGGGGCTTAGATGTAAGTGTCTAAATCCTTGAATCCCTGCTCTATAGCATTCCAGAAAACGTCCAAATTGAGTCCGCCTGATGCAGTAGCTGAAATCCATGAGTATGTCAAAGTCCAGGTGATTGTGGAACCTCGAGAGTTGGGGCCATCGTCGGCGTTATTAGGATCCACCTTTACGACCAGGGAGGCAGAACGAAAGTGCCTGCCCACGAAGTTCCTATCATTGTTAAAGGTGGATTCGACGGTTCGAGTGGCATGATCGACCCTGGTAATCTGCTCGGTCGCCTGGCTGACCATACCTGCTGTGGCTGCAACATATATATACGACGTCATACAATATGATTATTACATATATATTAATGAAAATGATGTGTAATTGCTTGCTAGCTACGTACCAGTTCCAAAAGTGATCTCCCGAACCGAACCGGCAGAAACACCGTCTTGGCTGGTCACTCGGATGCCTGCAATCAGGTTAGGCATGGCGGCCGGGTACATATTTGTGGCAGCAGAAATCGCTCCCCACACCTCGTTAGCAGACAAGGCCATCCGGCAAGTTTTGGTTAGAACAGGCATGTTCTTGGCTTGGGGAAGATCAACAACGTTAGCACTGCACTGCTGAGAATTTGATCAAAATAGAATGGATTGTGTTGTGTTGTGTTCCTTCTCCCCACATCATCGCTATATTTATACATACCCACAAAGTCAACCCTACGCGCTTGCTTCTCTTTGTCTCCGTCCGATACAATTATTAAAATGATGATAATAATAATAATCATCATTATTAAACAAATACTCCATTTATCGAATAATAATTCTACATGACTTGAATTAATAATACCACAACTACACACTGTGCTAGTTATTCTTTAATCATTCACACCCAGCGGACTCAGAACACAACAAACTCAAGATTTGATAAACACCTTCCTATTATCATTGTATATTCGATTAGGTAAGCCCAGTTAATTAAGCTCGTCATTCTTTATATTCCAACCATTGATCTGATAAACAAAGACTTCATTTCCATTTCATGAATTAATCATACTTTTCCTCATCAATACCAAACAAAAGATAAGAAGACCGACTTCCTTTACGATTAAACAACAACAAATCTCCTCAATTATTCCATCATCGAATTAAATTATACAAAGACTCTTCTTAATTATAGTATATGCCCACTAATGTTCAATTAACTTTCAAAAGTACCTGTACGCTCAGTTGAGGTTGTATGTATGGAATTTCTGTATTGATATTTGGGATAAACCAAATCTCGTATCGAATTTGACGATATTTTGTATCACCAAATACACATATTATTTTGTGGAATTGAGATTGAGATTGAATTTCAAGTATTATTTGGTATCAGGGATTACGGGATGAGAGTCCGTATATACTAAAATATAGATGAATGCCGAAATATAAACTAGTGTATATTTTATCCCTACCCAAATATCGATAAATTTCAAGAATTATTTGGTATTATTCATCATGAAAACGAAACAATAGAATAGGGGTGGCAAACGGTTATCGGTTTTAACAAATAACCGAACCGATAAAGGTGGTTACATGACCTAAATGTATCACTTCATATCACCCTGGTATATAATGGGTGGCAACTTGTAGTAAACATTTATCTTATCAATGAATGGATGGATTATAGATCTCCCATAAACATTTATCATACCACTCGTTACCACGTTGGTACTACCTTCGTTTTTAATTTGACGAAAATTTGAATATTGATCGATCGGATAAGTATATATATATATGGCGCCTTCTACGGTACCCTGGGTGAAATCCGGGGTACCGCATACCTTGAGTATGAAAACGCTATCTAGATCTCGAATTAACACGATTTTTGGGACTAATACTATACCCCAATCCTTAATGAGTGAACTTAGTTCCTAATTATCTAACTCATAAACTATAAACCCTAAGATAGTGCCTTCATTTTTTTGCCTATATTTGGACGAATCATAACCGTCGATTATTGTTTCTAATTAAGTTGATCTTAAGGTATAAGATTTAGAAAATTAAGACCTAGATTTCGATCTTTAAGGGTTAGAGTATAGTATCATGTCCGAAAGATCAGTCAATTCAAGGTCTGGATAGCGTTTTACAGTCCCCATATATATGGGGAGTTCTACGGTACTCAGGGTGAAATCTGGGGTACCGCATACCTTGAGTATGAAAACGCTAAAAATAAAAATATATTTTATTTTTCGATTGAATAAAAATTGTGTGCTATTAATAAATTTTCGCTCTTATTAATATTTGATCCTCCCCCATACACGTAGTACACAGATAGAGTCAGTTGGCGTTGGGCTTTACTAAGCATTCCTTTTCATTTTAAATATTTTCTCCAGATTCTGAAAATGGTAAAGAAATCTTCACTCCTCTAGCTTAGGGCAAGGCCAAATCTCTTTTTTCCTCCTTTGAATGACTCTTTATCTCTCTAGAATTGGAAGAGGAAACCCTAATCTATCACTAGGAACCCTCTTTATTCTGAAAACTAAAACCTACCAAAAAGCTCTCCTTTCTCCTTCAGCACCCTTCTCCTTTTAAACCCAGATCGTGCTCTGTTCACGTCTAAGACCTCAATTCACTATGTTCAAGGTCTTAGACCTCAGTTCAAGGTCTTAGTTCAAGGAAGCGTTGATTAGTTCAAGCTCTTAGACCTCAGTGATGAGACCAAAACGCACGTTCACATCCACGGTTCACAGTTTGTGCTTAGAGTTCACGGTCTTAGCGACCAATTAATTAGTAGTTATGATAATGAGGTGGAAATTTTAAATTAATTTTTTTAATTGCCACGTCATACATTTAACAGTCAATTATGAGAGTTGCCTGCCACATCACGCAAAATTAACAGAGTTGGACAGAGAGTGACCAAATTTGGATTGGTTTACTAAATTTAGTGACCATGAATGGATATAAATATTTCGAGTGACCAAACATGAACGTTTTTTGTAATCTCAGTGACCAACAATGCAATTAACCCATTATTCCATCATCGAATTAAATTATACAAAGACTCTTCTTAATTATAGTATAAGCCCACTAATGTCCAATTAACTTTAAAAAGTACCTGTACGCTCAGTTGGGGTTGTATGAATGGAATTTCTGTATTGGTATTTGGGATATACCAAATCTCGTATCGAATTTGACGATATTTTGTATCACCCAATACACATATTATTTTGTGGGATTGAGATTGAGATCGAGATTGAATTTCAAGTATTATTTGGTATTAGCGATTACGGGATGCGGGTCGTTATATACCAAAATATCGATGAATGCCGAAATATAAACTAGTGTATTTTATCCCTACCAAAATATCGATGAATACCGAAATATAATCTAGTGTGTATTTTATTCCTACCAAAATATCGATGAATTTCAAAAATTATTTGGTATTATTTTTATTCCTCATGAACACGAAACAAAAGAATAGGGATGGTAAACGGTTATCGGTTTTAACCAATACCAAAACGATAAAGATGGTTACAGGACCAAAATGTATCACTTCATACCATCCTGGTATATATGGGTGGCAACTTGTAGTAAACAATAATGAACTTGGTAAATAACAGTTTGTATATTATTCTACTATTGAACCATCCAACAAACTCAAGTTTTAATGAAATAATAATCATGTTATTCATCATGAAAACGAAAGGAAAGAGACCGACTTCCAGTACTATTAAACAACGGAAAATATCCTTAATTATTCAATCATCGAATTAAATTATACAAAGACTCTTCTTAGTTATAGTATACGCCCACTACTGTCCAATTAATTTTCTAAAGTAC